CGTTCAAAAGTTATGGTCAAGGTTAAAGTTTTTTCATAAGTACGTAAATCTCAAAGGTCAAGGTCAAAAGGTGAAGGTTGTTGGTATTTGGTATCCAATGAAAGGTCTTGCCACAAAAAATACATATGTGAAATATAAAAGTCCTAGTATCTACTGTTTAAAAGTTGTGACCAAGGTTAAAGTTTTTTAAAAGTACATGTAGTTAAAACTCCAAGGTCAAGGTCAAAGGGTAAAAGTTGTTGGTATCCAATGGAAGGTCTTCTCACAAGGATTACATATGTGAAGTACGAAAGCCTTAGTCCTCACCATTCAAAAGTTATGGTCAAGGTTAAAGTTTTTTCATAAGTACTTAAATCTTTAAGGTCAAGTTCAAAAGGTCAAAGTTGTTGATATCCAATTAAAGTTCCTGCCACAAAATATATATATGTGAAATATGAAAGTCCTAGTATCTATCGTTCAAAAGTTGAGACCAAAGTTAAAGTTTTTTAAAAGTAGTTAAAACTCCAATGTCAAGGTCAAAGGGTAGAAGTTGTTGGTATCCAATGGAAGGTCTCTCAAAAGGATTACATATGTGAAGTACGAAAGCCCTAGCTCTCACCGTTCAAAAGTTATGGTCAAGGTTAAAGTTTTTTCATAAGTACGTAAATCTCAAAGGTCAAGGTCAAAAGGTGAAGGTTGTTGGTATTTGGTATCCAATGAAAGGTCTTGCCACAAAAAATACATATGTGAAATATAAAAGTCCTAGTATCTACTGTTTAAAAATTGTGACCAAGGTTAAAGTTTTTTAAAAGTACATGTTGTTAAAACTCCAAGGTCAAGGTCAAAGGGTAAAAGTTGTTGGTATCCAATGGAAGGTCTTCTCACAAGGATTACATATGTGAAGTACGAAAGCCTTAGTCCTCACCATTCAAAAGTTATGGTCAAGGTTAAAGTTTTTTCATAAGTACTTAAATCTTTAAGGTCAAGTTCAAAAGGTCAAAGTTGTTGATATCCAATTAAAGTTCCTGCCACAAAATATATATATGTGAAATATGAAAGTCCTAGTATCTATCGTTCAAAAGTTGAGACCAAAGTTAAAGTTTTTTAAAAGTAGTTAAAACTCCAATGTCAAGGTCAAAGGGTAGAAGTTGTTGGTATCCAATGGAAGGTCTCTCAAAAGGATTACATATGTGAAGTACGAAAGCCCTAGCTCTCACCGTTCAAAAGTTATGGTCAAGGTTAAAGTTTTTTCATAAGTACGTAAATCTCAAAGGTCAAGGTCAAAAGGTAATGGTTGTTGGTATCCAATGAAAGGTCTTGCCACAAAAAATACATATGTGAAATATAAAAGTTTTAGTATCTACTGTTTAAAAGTTGTGACCAAGGTTAAAGTTTTTTAAAAGTACATGTAGTTAAAACTCCAAGGTCAAGGTCAAAGGGTAAAAGTTGTTGGTATCCAATGGAAGGTCTTCTCACAAGGATTACATATGTGAAGTACGAAAGCCTTAGTCCTCACCATTCAAAAGTTATGGTCAAGGTTAAAGTTTTTTTTATAAGTACTTAAATCTTTAAGGTCAAGTTCAAAAGGTCAAAGTTGTTGATATCCAATTAAAGTTCCCGCCACATAGAATATATATGTGAAATATGAAAGTCCTAGTATCTATCGTTCAAAAGTTGAGACCAAAGTTAAAGTTTTTTAAAAGTAGTTAAAACTCCAATGTCAAGGTCAAAGGGTAGAAGTTGTTGGTATCCAATGGAAGGTCTCTCAAAAGGATTACATATGTGAAGTACGAAAGCCCTAGCTCTCACCGTTCAAAAGTTATGGTCAAGGTTAAAGTTTTTTCATAAGTACGTGAAACTCCATGGTCAAGGTCAAAAGGTGAAGGTTGTTGGTATCCAATGAAAGATCTTGCCTCAAAGAAAACATATGTGAAATATGAAAGTCCTAGTACCTATCATTCAAAAGTTATGGCCAAAGTAAAAGTTGGGAATTTTTGTGTAAAAGTGGGTCAAACTTCAAGGGCAAGGTCAAAAGGTCAAATTTGGTGGTACCCAAAGAAAGGTCTTGTCACAAGGAATACATATGTGTAATATGAAAGTCATAGCTCCACTAAATCAAAAGTTATGGGCAAGGTTAAAGTTTTTGTGACGGACAGACTGACAGACTGACGAACAGACGAATGAGATTTAATGTCCCCTCGCTTTCGCGAAAGCGGGGGACAATAATCTCAAAATATAGAATTTCACATGCGGTCATTAAAATATTTTTGTATATAATAAGAAAGATATTACGGAAACAAATGTATGTGAATAAAAAGTAGAGAAAGACGGATCTATAATTATATGGCAGTGGCGGATCCAGAGGTTCATGTGGGGGGGGGGGGGGGGGTGTTGAGGCTCAAAGGGCCGAAAGGGGAGGGCATGAGAGGGGGTGTCCCCCTCCCATAGGTGGGGGTTCGGGGTGCCTTCCCCGAGAAAATTTTGTTCTGAATGGTTTTATACGGTGCAATTTGCAGCATTTTTGGGTACTTTTTGTCCCCCGCTTTCGCAAAAGCGAGGGGGCATTAAATCTCATTTGTCTGTCCGTCGGTCTGTCAGTCTGTCCGTCTGTCAGTCCGTCACAAAAACTTTAACCTTGCCCATAACTTTTGATTTAGTGGAGCTATGACTTTCATATTTCACATGTGTATTCCTTGTGATAAGACCTTTCTTTGGGTACCACCGAATTTGACCTTTCGACCTTGACCTTGGAGTTTGACCCACTTTTACACAAAAATTCCAAACTTTTACTTTGGCCATAACTTCTGAATGGTAGATATTAGGACTTTCATATTTCACAAATATATATTTTGTGACAAGTCCTTTTATTGGATACAAACAACTTTGATCTTGACCTTGGAGATTTCCGTACTTATGAAAAAACTTTAACCTTGACCATAGCTTTTGAACGGTAAGGGCTACGGCTTTCATACTTCATATATGTAATTCTTGTGAGAAGACTTTTCATTGGATACCAAGAACTTTGACCCTTTGACCTTAACCTTGGAATTTGACCTACTTTTCAAAAACTTTGACCTTGGCCACAATTTTTGAACAGTAGATACTAGGACTTTTATATTTCACATATGTATTCTTTGTGGCAAGACCTTTCATTTGATATCAACTCAACAACCTTGACCTTTGACCTTGACCTTGGAGATTTTTTGTACTAAGTCTTATGAAAAAACTGTAACCTTGACCATAACTACTTTTGAACGGTAAGGGCTACGGCTTTCATACTTCACATATGTAATCCTTTTGAGAAGACTTTTCATTGGATTCCAAGAACTTTAACCCTTTGACCTTGACCTTGGAGTTCAGTGATGATTTCTTAATAAATGACATATGTTAGGGTGTTTATATTCACACAATATGTCATAAAAAATGACATCTCACCCACAAAGACACCGAGAGGCGCGGGGGACCACAATTCCTTGAATTTGCTTGTTGTAGCTTTTTTTTATAGACCGATCATCACAAACTTTTAAGAATTTAGAAAAATAAAATGTTTTAATTTAATTTACCAGGTAACTTTAACACAAGACTTGAGACTTTGCTTTCAATAATTGTTAAATCTGACAATTTTAGGAATACAAGCAGTTGACTCCAAGTTGCCTTCACTTTAAATTCACCTTCAATATTAATTTTGTCATATGTCAAGCTGACTTCTAAGATACAACTGATGTGTATTTATGTAATTTGTGTGAAAGTACAAATAAATTCTTTAAAAAAAGATACAACTGATGTGCAATTTTTAAACACTTTCAAAAATTAAAAAATTGAATATTCAGAATCCCCAACTAGTGCTTTTAAATTTACTTGAGTATACTGTCAATATGATTTGTAATATGAACACGCATGTACTATTAATGATATTTCAAACTGAAGAAAAAAATGCATAAACTGAAGAAATAAAAAAAAGGTATTAATTTAATTTTTAAAACGGTAAAAAAAAGTACTCAATAATAGTTTATTCAAATAGTTAAAAAAAAAACCACATGCATTTTATCAGCAAAAAAATATTACTGAGCAGCACCGTGACTATGCATTTCTCTGTGTTGGTACCTGACTACATGTATTGTACATAGTATATGACCTTGTGACAAGATGCACGGACTACCCTAATCTCTGTTGATTACCTGTGTATTGTGTGCGTTTAAGCGGAAAGTGATTTCCTGTTACGTAGTTGATGTATACACTGTATTTCCCAGTTGTACAGAACAATGGATTCGTGTTTATTAGAGTCTTATCAATATCAATGCAACAAAATGATAAAATGACACTTGTAAAAAAAAAAAAAAATTCAATGAGTGGGGGGGGGGGGGGGTCCCGAAAACCCCCCAAACCCCCATGAATCCGCCACTGTATGGCCTGAGAAAGGTTAATAATTTCATATTATCTTTATCGTAATATTTAACGTTTTCCTTTGGTATTTAATTTGTTTGAGTTAGAAAACCACCAAATTTGAATTTCTTGTTAATGAAAAAAGTTATAATGATGTTTTGATGAATTGAATTAATCTCTGTTGAGATTCTGCTGGGCTATATATTTGGACTTGACGCCAGGCGTCAAGTCCAAATATCTAGCCCAGCTGAATCTCAACAGAGATTAGAACTGAATATAAATCATACAAAGCAAATATTTTATACCATATTAAACAGAATAAATCCTTCGTAGTATAGAAAAAGTTACAATAATTGCAGTTTGAAAAATGTGTGTTTTTACATTAGGCCTACAGAATGTCAAGATCTTTTGGAAGACCCATTGACGCAATATTTTTGCATAGGCCTATTCAGATGAACAAGTAACATTGATGACGTCAATCAGAAACTCTGAAGTATTGATTTCCCATTTAGGCCTCCATAGAATTAGCAAAAATATATCATATTTAGAATATACCTTCTAAACATCGTGTGCAATCTAAGGAACCATATAACAAAATTCATAGACGGATATATCAAAGATTTTAAATGATTTTGTGCATTATGGCAGTTTACATACGGAAAAAGTGAAAGTGGCAAAAATACGAAACTTCCGCTAACCTATTTATCTTGCGTGGGTGTAAAATTATTAAATTATCATAAACAAATGCACTATCAAGAATATATTTGTCGAGGTAAGTGCGATCTTTTCTTTGATTTATTTGGTTAATAAGAATGTATGAGGGAGAAATAATAGAATTTGCTTTGTTTAAATGTATGTGAAATTTTCCAACCTTCAGCAATACACAAATCTTATTTTTATTGTCTTCCCCGATTTCCTCTGCCAATATGACTTCGTAATGTATCCAAAACATTTATCTACAATTCTTTTCAACAATTCAAGCATACTACATTATTCTATTACTGACGGTATTTATAACGTTAAAATGTCATTCTATTCTTTTGAAAATGAAATTTTGGCTTGCTGATTCAACAAGGTTTAAGTACAAAAATGTTCGTCACTTTCAGACTGTCACTGAGGCTTGGCCCTGAGTCAGTGAGTGTATATGTTAGCCCGAACTGATAGAATATGGTATTTTATATTTTCTATTGCTTCTTCAAAATGGCTTTCTATTAAGGAAAAGATTGAGTTAAACAAACATTAAAAAATGTTGAATGTAAAATATTTCACACATGTAGTGTAAAGCTTATCATAATCTGAAAACCAAATACATAATCTCATTCTGAATCCGTATTTGTGAATGAATGTTTGACCATTTGAATTTTTTAGCATAGCGGGTTGAATAATTTTTAGTATGTATTAGATTTTAAGTCAAATTGCAGTCCATACAACATAGACAGTGTATTGAATGGTACTGCTATGTAAACATAAGGCACTGTATGTATGAGATACCTTGCAACAGAAATATATATAGTATGCCTTTTGAAGTACTGTCTCTTAACTTCCTTATTTTATGTTGTCAAAACTACCAGCTGAAATAAAAATGCAACGAAGCACTTCAATAACAAGTATTGCAATCATGTTTGGGCTGAATACCTGGTAATAAAAGTGTGTTTCCAAGAAATGGAAAATAATGTAATCCTAAGTTGCATAATAGATTATAGTCATGGGATGAGAAAGATTTTTCTGTTGTCTGGAAGGCTTTCTAATGATCTTGCTATTGAGAATCTATTGACTATTATATAGGGTCGCAAAATTATTTTAATGATGTTACGTCCATGTGCACATAATGTTCTTCATGTCCCAGTAGAATTGGTTTCACAAAGAATATCATATGACAATGAAAATGTTCCATTTTTCCAAAATACAAAATAAATATTATTAAATACAGCTCTGCTGAGTAGTTTGCAGAAATGATTGTGTGATTGTACATGCAAGGTGTATAATGGAGCCCAATTAAGAGTCACAAATGCATTACAATATAAAACTATATGTATCTATCAAATTAGACTTCATTAGGATCAACTTCTTATGAAAATACAGTTGAACTTTGTTATATCAAAAACCAATATCAACATGATCAAAAAAAAAAGGGAATATTTCAAAGTGTATTGGCAAATTAATCCAATCCCTTTTTCTTTAACATTTTTATCCTCATTGTCTCAATTCCTTGAATATGTTTTGTGTCCAGTGGTCAGTTTGAGATAACAAGGTTAGACTGTATCAAGATACTGTCACTTATTGTCCACAGCTTTTCACTGTGAATGCTTCGGACTGTACAAATCTAGACATAGTGATAAACTAGATGACGAAATGAAAATTTTAAAATAGCATTACATTCGCTACTAATAAAAGATAGTCATGCTCTTTATAATCAATTGGAAATACAGTAAAACCTTGTTCTCTGGAACTTGATGGGACCAAGAAAAAACTTCAAGAAATCTGAGGATTTGAAATGCTTTACATGGGACTTCCACATGGTGTTAGAGATATTTGTGTTCAAGATACCAAAATTCAACTGTATTTATCTTTGATTTTAGTTAAGATTTTAGGCTGCAAAATTTCATTTTCAATGCTGGATAGTTGATGTTACACAAATGCATTCCTATAAATTCAAGTTTTTATTTTGACTGAAAATCAGTTCTGATCAGATTGTGTCATAGATTAAAAGCACATTAATACAAGAAATCAAGAATCAAAAAATACATAAAGTATATTAAAATCAAGGCTTTACTTGTTTATTCAGATTAATTGAAAATAAGTGATTGTATCAGTAGGATGATAGGATGAATAAAAACTTGGATAATAAGAGTAAGCATATAGACTGTAAATCTGTATCAGAAATTAAATCAAGATATCATCAAAATCACTGGTGACACAAAGCTTAAGAAAGTTAATCACCATTTGTATGAAAGAGTACATGTAACATTGGGTATTTGATACTTTACAGAGAAGTTTTAATTTGACAGTTAATTATCAGTTAATGTTCACACACAGTGACTGTTAGTCGGTACTGACAGACAAGCAAATTAAGTACCATTTTAGTAGATCAACAACTAGCTGATGTGCAATATTTTTATTCAAAACTTAATTGTTAGCAACTTGAGCTAGGTTTTACATGATTTTACTGTAACAAGTTTAAGAAAGAAAATTGGTTTAATTTTAGCAACCCCCCCCCTCCCCCATTTTTACAATTTTGAATTAAGAGTTTTTACAATGTAGAAGTTGGAAACAGAGAGTTGTAAGTTTAAGCTTAGGAATTACTGTTTTTCTTGTTTTTGAATTTTATTCCATTTCATTATAACTTTGATAATATTGAAGTCATGATATTTTCATTTAGGTTTTATTAACCAGTTTGTCCATAATGATATTTTTTTAAAAATACTAACGGTACTTTGATTGGATCTAATCAACATTATATACAGTATATGGGATGTTTTACCTACAGGTGTGGAATAATTACCTGAAACATATACCTTCTCTGGTGCCATTAGTACTTTCCCTCGGCCTTGCTTGTTGCCTTTGATGTGCATTAGATTGCTTATATGTTTTATACCAATCTGGTCATTTTATGTAAATTTTATGAGAGGTACACATATGTGTGGTAGATGACCCCGAAAAGCGTACTGGTCTACCGTAGGAATTTCTACGAGGACTTGTCATGAAATCATGTTTTTTGGAGTTTGAACATCATCATGTTGAAAAAAGAACACCATGTGGATTTCATTCATCTGGAAATTTATTTCATTTGTGGTGAGCATTTTAAACAAAAGATAATAGCAATTAAGGCCGTGTTTCCTTCTGTGGTAAACAATACAAACAAGACTATATAGAGAGGAAAAAAGGTTTGTTCATAAATGTATTTAATTAAGTTCAAATTGATACAAGAATACTTTTACAGAAAGTTCATGTAAATATAAGTTTAAAAGTACGTTTTTGTGTGAGGTATTTATAATGCAAATGGAAGTTTAAGAAGAATTATGCCAGAATTGATCCATGATAATTCTTTGTGACTTGCGTACATTTATGTCGGAAAAATTAACTGGGATCACTTTAGCATAAATTGATTTTCATTTTTCATTTAAAGGAAGTTCAAAGATTGATTTACAGCCTGAACAATGAAGCTTTTTAAGGTGGCAGTAATTCATTCCCCCAAAACCCAATGCTTGGTTTTAGAGATAAGCAGTGATGTATTTGATTAAATATCTTCTGTTATATATGTCTAGTAGGAGAAAGATTATCAGGATGATCGACCACTTTTAATTCTTATTTCTTGTGGGGTTGTGTTTTGTTTTGGTTTTTTTTTTTTTTTTGGGGGGGGGGGTTTGTTGGAGGACTGGAGGGGGGTCAGGGTCAGGTGGAGATTAAGAATATAAAAAAGTAGTGATATGTATCTTTTTTGCCTAATTGTACTTACATGTATACCGGTACATCATATAAAGAAAGCATAAAAAATATTGGAAAAAGAAAAGAAATTATCAAGCATCCTTGTGAATCATCTGAGTGTGTGCCTTTGGTGAATCATGGAGCGTTGTGACAGTAAAAATTTGTCTTGTCTGCTGCCCAGGGCAGTTGCCATTACACATGGTGTTTTATGATGCAGTTTATAGTAGCTGGACATGGACACTTGTCATGCATGTTCCATTATCTAAACTATAGGCTCTGAGTAAGGAGTACCAGTTGAATACTTTGGGAACCAGTCAATGAATGCCACTCAGTTCCATTTACTATTTTCTTTTAAGGACATAAACAACATACATATACAAACTCTACTGTGATTTTAACTTTCCAAATGATAATTTTCTAAGATATATTCTCAATTTATTATCAAATAGTACCTAAACATGGTCTTATAAAAATCAGCATACATTACCATGAGTTTTGACCAGATATAAAATGATGAATATTCTTGTATATGTATTTTTAAAGAAATTTAACAAAAATATAGTTTAAAGAAGTATTTCCCAAAAATTTGAGTTATAGGAGGTGTACAGTATTGACAGGGATCATAAAATCACAAAAAGGTCCTTCGATAGGGAACTTTTAAATTAAACAAGAAATAAGATATTTAAGTTGGAAACTGCATATGCATAGTCCTTAATTCCACTTGATCTTCAAAACTGCAATAGATTTTTTCGCTTCTTCGTATCAATCCCACTGAATATTAATTTTACAGTATACATTAGTATATACACATATTACGTGTATCGAAATATTTAGTTTTAGAAAAGCTAGTACACTGTACTGGTATATTGCAATTTATAGATAACAGTTACAATAATTGTTTAAATGGTTGATGTAAATTGTAAAATTTTGCTCTGTCCATTGAGAAAGTTTGTACCTTGAGTTGATCGATACTTCGTTTTAGAATATTTTCAAACACGTGCACATTATTCAGGAAGTAGGAAAACTTATCTTGTGGAATCATTTTTCAGAAAACTTCTATTCTGCAAATAAAGTTCTGCCTGCAAAGAGGAAGTGCTAGTATAGCTAGGATATATAGATTTTTTTTTAATTATTGTGGACCACACGTCCTTAAACACAAAACATACCGGATACGCCAAACACAGTAGTCAATTGAATGCCAAGTTCTGAAAAAGCAATATTCGTGTTAGAGAGTCACACCCAAGAATTTTTAAAAAATCAATTTTTATATACTGGATTGCATTTAGTTCCACCTCATCAAATGGAATTGTAGAATATTTGCATGCAAAATCAGAACCTGTTTGAATT